TCCCACATCACTGTGGTTGTCTTCTTTTTTGTCCCCTGTATTTTCATATATGCACGACCAGCCAAGACTTTGCCCATTGACAAGTTATTGAGTGTGTTTTACCTGGTCATAACCCCCATGCTGAACCCCTTCATCTACACTCTGAGAAACTCAGAGATGACAAATGCTATGAAGAAACTCTGGGGAGGAAAAGTCATATCATGTAGTAAATGAGTGAGTTTCCAGCTCTAAGGAGAGTCATTTTACCATAAAACTATCTTCTTAGGAAGCATAACATTTGTGAAGCTGATGTTAACTTCCTTTCCCTCCAAATTTCTGGTAAATACAATTAAGAAATTGAATATGTGCTTGTACCACTAATATTTTCTCTGATGTAATGTAGACTTTATAATGTCTTGTTGATCACTACTGGACAGTTCTAATGCACATGTAATACATTGTCTATGACAATATGTAGTAAATTAATGAATAAAATTTTGGAATCATTGCACTGATGTCATTTAATTTTTGCATTTATTTGTATTCCTCACTTTGGTATTCCTTATCTTATTTTTAGACTTCCTTTTATATTGATTCTTTTTATTATGTTTTAATATTTAAATGCAATATAAACTTACGTTCATTTGTTTTCAGTAGCGTATGTAAATTTTAGTACTCTAAATTTACCTGGTAAAGTAAAAAATGGAATGCTTCACAGTAACATTAAAAGTAGAACCCTGACAACATGATAAATTGTAGAAATCTACTATCCCTCATCAGAATCTCTCAGTGCTAAGTCTGAGATGCAGGTAGTAAATTGTTTTTCTGTTTCTTCAAATAAGGGGTCTTATCATTTGTGACAACTGGGGTGACACTGGAGGACATTATGCTAAGTGATATAGGCTGGACATAGAAAGACAAATACTGCATGATATCATTTACATATAGAATTAAAAGTAGGCACAGTCCTGGGACAGAGAGCAGGATATTGGTTGTCACAGGCTGGAAGGTGAGAGGATAGTGATGTTTTTCAAAAAATGCAAAGTTTATTATGATAGAAAATGTCTTGTTGGGCTGGGGATGTGGCTCAAGCAGTAACGCGCTTGCCTGGCATGCACGGGGCGCTGGGTTCGATCCTCAGCACCACATAAAAAATAAATAAATAAATAGAATAAAAATGTTGTGTCTACCGAAAACTAAAAAATAAATATTAAAAAAGAAAATGTCTTGTTATAGATGTTATTTCTGCTGTATTATTAATTATAGTTACCATGCACTATAATATGATAGCTAATAACACTAATTATATACTTGATATTTGATAAGAGGGTAGATATGTGTTCACAAAACTATCACATAACTACAATGCACTAATGAAGACATTAAGAAAAAGACGTTAAAAGAAATCATTCAAACGATGGAAAATGATACCATATGGGAATATGATTTTATAAACCAAAAAGAGATCATCAGAAAGAATTAGAACATGAGCAAACATGAATTTTTCTATTGAAATATCTTTAAAATATAATTATTAAAATAATATTTATGTAAATTTGTTATGAAATTGTAACCCAATCCTCCAAACTAAAATAAGTAATGTTTAATAAGTTAACAAAGAAAATAAAAAGACATAAGTAATCCAAAAGAAATATGAAAAAAGAAAAAAATAATGAAAATACAGAACTCATAAAATGATTATATGTTTAAAATTAACTATGGCTATAGTTACATCAATGTAAATGGTTTAAATATTGCATTAAAATGCAGAGAGAGATCACAGTCTCTGTAAGAAAACTAAGACTCCTTTGTATGCTGCCTCCATAAACACACACCTTTATGCAAAAAGTAAGGTAGATTAAATTTTGGTAATTTCCAATTTCCTGGGGAATCACTCATTTAATCCAGATTATAATTTATTTTATTTAATCCAGGTTCCAATACTTTTTAGAGTTCATAAAATTCCCAACTTTTTTTAAAAGAACTTTCTTTGTATTCTTTGTGTCATTCCTAATTTTGAAATCTGTGCCTCCTTTGATTTTTTGTGTGATTAGAATAGAGAGTGTTTTATTCATTTTCTCATATTGTTCTTATTTTTATCCAACCAAGTAGATCTTAGATTGCTATATTTTGAATACAGAGTGATCCCCACATGCTCATTTGTTAAAGACTTGGTCCTCAGCAGGGTGTTAATAGAAGGTGGTTGAAACTTTTAGAGGTGAGACCTAGTGGGACGTTTTCCATCACTGGGAGGCAGATTCTAAAACAGGATTGTGGAACCTAAAATCCTACTTTCTATTCTTTTGTTTTCTTGAGAGGAGGTGAAGTGTTTGCTTCACCATGAGTGCTCACCATGATATGCTGCCTCCCCACAGGCCCAAAGCCAACGGACCACTTAATCATGGCTTGAAACCTCAAAGCTGTGAGCCAAATTGAAATTTTTCTCTTATTAAGTTGGTGTAACTTAGGTATTTGTTACAGTAATGTAAAACAGACTAAGAAACATAATAGCTCAAATTATTTTTTTCTAATGTAGAAAACCTCTTCTATCTTCACTAGGTTCTTGAACCTACTTTTGCTTAGGGTAATTTTCTGGTTTTCTAACATTCTTAGTTGAAAGGATGTTTAATCTTTTATTGAATTTTAAACAATACGAACTCTAAGACGTTAAGTTTTCCTCAGAGCACTGAGCTAATACCCTACTGTATTAAATAGTATTTTCACTTAAATCATGTTACATATTTTGGGTTTTAATTTCTACCACTTTTTTACCGAAGAACTTTTAAAAATAGGACTTTGAATAGTAGCAATTAGAATGTAATATTTGGTTTATACCAGCAATCTCATTCATTTCTAGATTTATTGAAAAGCATTCAAGCATGATTAAATACTCTCATGATAAAAACAAACTAAAATCATATCATACACTATTATGTGTGTGATAGATGTTGTGTGAGTATCTTATACATTATGATATATTATCAAAACTTTTAAGCTGACTTCTGTATTTTCATAATCTCATTGTAATGTATGTGTTTAGTTTCAATAAAGCATTTAGACTGATGGCTCTGGAGCTTGGAGGAAGACTAAGGAATTTGTAGAGATTCTGAGGAAGGTGTGGACCTCCACAGCTGTCCTTGCAGGAGGAGAGAGCAAAGTCCTTTCTTCCAGTATTAGGACAGTCCTGAGTGGCAGAACTACCCAAAAGGGCCACCAGGGCTAAAAAGCTGGACCCTCCTCTCTGTCTCTAAACTATGACAGGTTCTTGCTCTCTCTGGGGAGAGGCAAGGAGCTTGCAAATGGAAGTTTCAGTGAATGAGCACCGAGACATGGTCCTTCTCATCCCTTCATCCAGCTGTTGTGAAAAGATGAGGCAGGGTCAAGAAAATGCTTAATCTAGCAGCCAAGAGAATGGACTTTGCTGCCCTCATTTGTGCTAGTCTTTAGTTTTATGCACCACTTTTCATCTCCATGTTACTACTTGTTTTCCTTTATTTCCTAGAGTTTCCATTCATTCCCTCCCTTCTGTTATTGTTCTAGAAGCAAACAATTCTGAACCTCAGTGTCTATGAAGCTGGGAGTCCAGGTTGCCTTTGAGGTTTTAGTCACACCTAGTGCTAATGGAGCTGTCACAGACCATGCAGCTTTGCATTGTTTGCATTTTGTTTTCTTGAGAGGAGGTGAACTGTTTGCTTCTACCTGCTGGGAGCCATTAGCCAAGTAGGTATGACAATTTCCTTGCCAGCGTACCCCATGTTGCAGTGACATTGAATGTAGGTGACCTTGTTCAAGGACCAAGGCGGATTAGGGCGTTCCCGGTTTAGGTTCCAGGTTTAAGGTTTAAGATTATTCCTGCTGGGAATAGGGCGTATCCTGCTGCCTGAGTTCCCCTTGAGTTCTCACGGGATTCAGACAATATATTTTGGAGATAGAAGCCCAGTGGGTGTGGATTTGGGCAGAGAACGTGGATTTCCCCAGAACGTGATTGTAGACGGCTGGTGTGAGTTCGGGAATAAAGAGTTGCTGTTTGAATCTACAAGCTGTGTGGTGGCTCGTGATTGTGTGCCCAGCCAGACTGCGGCATCTACCTTCTCTCTTCCTGGCAATCAGGGAGAGTTAATGCTCTGAACCTGCAACAAGGAGATGGGCCTGCTGCCATTTTGTGGAAGCTATTTAAGTTAGGACAGGACTCCACAGGAGCTTCCCAAGGCCCTGATGGCATGAGATCTCTATTTGTGAGTCACGAATCTGTCTACTGTGTAAGTTTCTATACTTTGGCTGAGACATAATTTTGGTGTGAGTTCTGTTCTCTCCAAATCTTACAAGAGAGGTCAAATGATGTCAAGAAAAAAAAAAAGAATACCAGAGTAGGAGTTGGGTTCTGCCTTAGACTATCTGGAAGACTTTGGGTGAGTCATGAAAGGCCTCAGTTTCTCTGCTTACAAGTGTTATATTGGGGTGATGGTTGTGAAGTTCCTCTCACAGCCAGAAATTTCGTATGATCACTAAAATGCTTGAAATGTTTTAAAGTTCCTTTAGGATATAGGTAACCCCTTCCCTTATTTTGTCTGGATATGCTGAGTGTGGTGGTCTAGTAGTTCCCAGGAATACCCTCCCTCTGGATCTTCCTGGACTACCCAGGGAGGAATGAAAGAAAGGGTGTGTGACATACAAAAGTATAAATGTAATGACAGCCGACCATTTAGTAGAAAGGAGACTTGTCTTTACCCAGCTTAGTACAATAACTAGAAAAGGCGGTTTGCTATCTCCCCACCCCCAAGCCTATTCCTTTAGGCATGCAGGTAACTGTTCCTCCCCACCTCCCATTTCTTCTCATTCCACCAGGGAAGCCCGACTAAAGAACAACAAGAAGTCCTACAAAGGGGAGGTCTCACGAACCAACTGGCAGCCATTTGATGATGATAGGTATGTCTGACGCTATAAAGGCTGTGTGCAGAAGAAGCCAATTCCACAGGAATTTGAGCTCCAATGCCAGGAGGCAGGAGGTACTGAGGGCAAATTCACTGCACGGACTCAATCTGAAAGACCCACTGGAGGATCTCCTGGTGGCACAGATCCTGCACAGCTTTGGGTTGTTGCTGTAGTGCTGTCACCCAACATGCAATCAGCTCACTGACTACACACAGCAGTAAAAGAGGCAGCAGCAGCTTCAACATAGCCCAGGGCCCAGTGTGTTCCCATAGGTGGCTTGAGGGGATGGGAGCTACACTTAGATTTGGGGGCCTGATTTGCTTCCTTCTTGGGTTTGTTCTCCTGCTCCACTTGGAATCTTTGAGGGCATCACATTCTTTTCACTGATACTCCTTCTCTTCTGCCTTGTCCAGCTTCTGCAGTTCCTGCTCCTGAGCTTCCTTAGCTCGCTGTTTGGCCTCCAACCTCTTCTCTGCCTCTCCTTCCACTTCCAGCAACCTCTGCCTCTCTGGCTCCTGATCCACCTGCACAGTCTTTATGTACTGTAGCACCTTGTTTGCACACTGCTTACACAGCTTCTCATCCAAGCAATCACCAGCCACTTTGGCCAAGAAAGTGTCCAAGGTGTTGTCCTTTAGGTCCAGCCACTCCAGGTTCTTGAGCTGAGCAAAGCTGACAGGCAGGGTGACCAGTCTGTTGTGGAGGAGATTCAGGTGCTGGAGGTTGACCAGAAGGCCAGACTCAGCTGGCAGCGACTGAAGCTTGTTCTTAATAAGGTCCAGCTTCATCACATGTGTGAGGCCACAGAAATCCCATGGTAGAACACTGATTTATGGCAGGACAGATTCTTATAGTTGGGGAAGTTCTTAGTATGTTAAGTCTTCTAGTGTTATGATGTTACTTACTCCCACTGTTGCTATAAATGCAACTGACACTTGTGCTGAAGTTCAAGGCTGTATACATAAATGTATTTCTTTGAGGTGAACTTCATTTAATTGTACCATTATGTATGGAAATGCTTATATTATCTTACCACAGGATAGTTTTCTTGTGGAGCAAATACTTTTAATTATCTACCCACTAATATGCCTCATAGAACCCACTGTTGTCTTAGCAGACTGTGTTTCTACCATCTCCACAGATTTTGATAGGTCACCATCTGCACAACATATCCATAAAAGGTCTATTTCCTTTGATGAAAACTGTAATGATTCAGTAAAGGCAGAATTTGAGGCCTTGACATTTTCCTTAGTAGGTATCCTTGGACTAGCTGTCAGGGATTACAAAACAACTATGAAATTGGCCTGTGCTATGGTAAAAAATATTAATCATACTTCGTTGGCAATCAATATGCTTAATGAAGAGCAAAATCATTATTGTCAAGCTATTCTTGACAATCAGGCTGCAATTGATTATTTGTTATTATTACATCATAAAAGATGTCAGGAGCTTAATAATATGTGTGGCTTTAATTTAAGTGATAACAGTAATTCTACTTCAAAAGGGTTAGATCACCTTAAAAATACCATTAAAAAGGTCCAAAAAGATGATGGAAGTTTAGATTTATTATATTGGCTAACTTCATGGTTACCCAGTTTTACTTGAATCAAACAATTTTTCATAGGTGGATGTTTAGTAATATTAGGATTGTTACTTCGTGCTTGTTGTCATTGATGCCTACCTTATTTTTTTATATACGTACACAACATTTTTCTTTTGTTCTGTTTCTTTTTTAATTTGTTTTAATTAGTTACACATGACAGTAGAATGATCTTGACATATCATAAATTTGAATCAGATGTGGTATAATTTCTCGTTTTTCTGAGTATACAGGTTGCAGAATCACATTGGTCATACAGTCATGTATATACATACAGCAATAATAATGTCTATTTTTTTCTGCTGTCCTTCCTATCCTGCTTTCCCCTCCCCTCCATTCCCATCACTTCTTGCTGCAGTCTGGCTGGGCACAAATGCCGCAGTCTGGCTGGGCACACAATCACGAGCCACCACACAGCTTGTAGATTCAAACAGCAACTCTTTATTCCCGAACTCACACCAGCCGTCTACAATCACGTTCTGGGGAAATCCACGTTCTCTGCCCAAATCCACGTTCTCTGCCCAAATTCACCTCCACTGGGCTTCTGTCTCTCAAAATATACTGTCTGAATCCCGTGAGAACTCAAGGGGAACTCAGGCAGCAGGATACGCCCTATTCCCAGGAGGAATAATCTTAAACCTTAAACCTGGAACCTAAACTGGGAACGCCCTAAACACGATTATCTTAAAACCGGGAACACCCTAATCTGCCTTGGTCCTTGAGCAAGGTCACCTACATTCAATGTTACTGCAACATGTCAGCAACATGGGGTACGCTGGCAAGGAAATTGTCATACCTACTTGGCTAATGGCTCCCAGCAACTTCTCTCACTTCTCTCTACCCAGTCTAATGTGACACACTTCTTTTTTTTTTTTCTTCTATTCAACATAGTTCTGAAAGCACTAGCCAGAGCAATTAGACAGACGAAAGAAATTAAGGTATAACTATAGAAAAGAAAGAATTTAAACTAGCACTATTTGCTGATGACAGGATCCTAT